GGGGGGGCGGGGGGGGGGGGGGGGGGGGGGGTCCTACTAGCGTTTTTTACCTTTTCCTTGTCCTTTCCATTTACCAGGTGTATGTATGTAGTTCAGGTTGTGAGAGCGCGGGCGGGGGGGCTTCTACTACCAACCCTCTCTCTCTTGGCTGGCTATATTGTTGAGGTAAATAGGCCGGATGATTGCGTGCGAATAAGTGCTTTGTGCGCGAAGGAGACGAAACGACGACAGAAAGACAGACAGACCGCTCATGTTCGGCGTCCACCCACACGACGACTGACTGACGACTCACCACTCCCTGTACTCCTCCTCCTTCTCCCTGTGTTCACCATTCATTTTGGTTCATAGTTCGTCCCTTGCTCGCCTAGACTATCAGTTTACGCGCCACTCATCGTGCTCATCTGTTTCGTACGTACCCTAGATAGAGCGGGGCAAAGCACGCATCGCCTGTTGGTTGTCGTGTAGGGCAAACATCCGTTTGTCTGAGTGCACATACATACATACATAGTCTACGCCTTTTTCTGAACGAATCTAGATATATATATATATGCCTGAGTGTGCCACTGGCATCCCCTTTTTTTTTAGACAGACCGGCTTTGTCTGTCAAGGGTGGTGGTGGTGGTATCGGAATGAGGTTTTCGCCGATGATGGATGGATACGGACCTTATGAGACCGAAGCGTCAAGCTTGACGCTTAATTAAGTGCCGCCAACAACACCACCGCTGCTGCTGCTGCTGCTGGGCTAGTCCATAATGCCGCTGTTCACCGAAAATAAATGTATGTGTATTGGAAGCAGCGCGAGCCAGCCGGCATTCATTGCAGCGCAGCAGCAACAGAAGAGAAAAGAACTAACAAGCCAAACGAAGACAACGGACGGAACAAGACACGCCTGTTTCATGTTTTCTTCTTTCACTGAGTAGTAGATACAGCAGTTGACGAATCTGTTCGGAACGAATAACACCCCCCCGTACCCTCCTTCCCTCCCCCCCCCGGGGCATCGGGGTTATTATAGGTTTTCGTCGCTTGGCAACGACGTTGTAAAACAAGCCGCCACCCCCGGTGATTGCCATCGGGGTTGGGTTTTCGTCGTTTGGCAGGGATGTTGTAAAGCAAGCCGCCCCCCCCCGGTGTTTGCCATCGGGGTTTGGTTTTCGTCGCTTGGCAGCGATGTTGTAAAACAAGCCGATCACGTGGTGAGCTCGGCGACCAAGCGTACCGCTTTTTTTTCCGCCTTCTTTTTGTTTTTTTCGGTACTGTATCCATGCATGGTGGTCGAGTAGATTATGTTGTGCGGGGTCGAGAACCCTCACTCCGCGCAAGGGGGATGATCGCACCACGTTGTGTTAAATTGGTCAAGCACCCTCGAGGCAGGTACACAGTGCTTTTATAACTGTCTCTGGAAGTGAAAGCACCAGAAAATATATTAAGTCAGTCATACGCAGCTGTCATCCGTACGCAAGGAAGTAAGCACAAGATGCCGAACACCCTTAGCAGGATGCAGCGCACCCGTCATGCGACTCGCCGAATACCTCACGGTGCTTCGCGCTTGGTGATGTGAGAGCCCGGTCCACAGTGAGAACCCGGCGTGCTCCGTCCCGGCTTTGTACAGTAGGGATGCGAGGTCAATGGTGTAATGACTATTATATGGCATGCACGACTACGAGTGAGTAGTACCCCCTGCTTGCAACGAGAAGTTGTTGATGACAAGCAAGAGGTGAGTACGGGGGTGGGGGTAGCGGCCGCCGCGGCGCTCAGGGATGCATCACTGCCGTCCTCTTGTCGCAAATTGTACATTCGATTTTCTACACCAACAAAAAGACTACGCTGCAGGTAATAAATAGCTCACAGGGACCAGATGCATTAATTCGCGAATACTACAACAACAACTATTACGCAATCAACTACGTAAAAAAAAAGAGGATGGAGGCAAGAGAAAGAAATCGTCACGTAAAACGAACAAGGACAAGAAGAGTGGCCGCAGAGCTTCGGACACAGCCTGCGTGCGTGATCAGACCACGCTCTGCTCAATCTAGCATGCGACTGCCAAGTAGTCGCCATGCGCACAAAAACCCAACTATTATAACTCTGCTGCCAGGAGCTATGACCCCCGACCTCGACTCCCGCCCCGCCCTCATGCAACAACTGAATAATTCACCAACACACTCCCGAGAGGACTATCTTAAAAAAGAAGTACCTGGCTTATATTTTATCTGCAAAATACCGCACGTACACGCCATTACCATCATCACTTCCCCTACTACCCACGCACGCGCTTACGCCACAAGAAACGGAACAATTATTTAATAAGATCGTGTAAAAATCAGCCACCACCACGGACGGCGGGTGTGCAAGTACGCACGAGGATGGATGCGGACCACTGCTGTCCCCGAGAGGAGACTGTTCGCCAGAAGCCGGGTCGTCCCCAACACAGACGTCGGAACACAAAGTGAACAAAACGCTGGGAGAGCCGCAGCAGCAGCAGCAGCAGTAGTAGTGCGAACAGCAGCAGTAAGACAGCAGCCCCCGCAGTACGTTGTAATAGTCGTGGTCGATCAAGGCGAAGGTAACAAACAAACAAAAAAATACCATAAAAAAAGAGCCCGCAAACGGGACGAAGAAACAAAGGAAGGAAAAAAAATAGGGCACATCAAGCCCCAACCGAACCCACTTATTCAACACTATAATAGTCTAACCACAACAGACGAAAACGACCTGAGCCGGCCGCCAGCTGAGACGGCAGCAGTCTCGCCCATTTCTTTTAGAACACATGTACCAAAAAAAAATTGCCATCACGAACGAAACACACTCTGCTGCCTACCGTCGGCCGTCGATCGTTTTTTTGGACACACCGCCAAATCTAACCGTGTAACAGGTTCTTGTTGATGTACTACAGTAGGGCATGCCAACCAAAGCCCGGAAACAAATCACATTATTTTGATATGTTATGTCACTGAATCGCGTTGAACACAACCAAGCGAGCCAGCAGAACAACACTAAAAAATCAAATTACGACAGAGAGACCAAGAGATACACACTACACGTAGAAGTGCTGCCAGGACCACGACAAGAAAGGCTACCCTGGGACAAACTATGTAACCATCTTGCTCTACATATCCCCGTAATACCTTTAGTTTTCGCACGATGGGTGCAAGAGAGTGACCACAAACCAAGAATCCAATCGATCTTACAACCGAAAACATTTCCTTGAGCACACTCTCCGAGGGCGGGGGGGGGGGGGGGGGGGGGGACCCCACCAGGGCCCCAAAAAAAACCAAGCCCCCCCCGGGGCCCCCCGGAGGGGAAAAAAAATTAATTTTAAAACCCAACCCCAAACCGGAACCGAAACCAATTTTAAAACCCTTTTTTGAAAAAAAAGGGGGAGAAGGGGGGGGGTTTTCCCTGTCCTTTCCCCCCCAAGGGGTTTTTCAAGGGGGGCCCCCCCCCCCCGGTTTTTTTTTTTTTTCAAAAAATGTCCCCTTGGGGGTGATTTACCCCTTT